CCTGTTGTATGTAATTCAGCTTCGAACTGTAGACTGGAGAGCTTTGCGAACAATCTATTCATCAACCCCCTCCCTACCTTGACACGGCATCGTTGGTTCTTGCCACAGTTCCTTGAGTTGTGCCACATCCAGCACCTAGAGCACTGTATAACAGCAGAGACTTTAGGGAGGCGCTTAAAGAAGGCTCTTCTTCCAAGGGGAGATGTCATGTCGGGGATAGCGCGAGGGACCCTAGCTTCCTCTTCCTTAAATACAATCCAAGAGGTATAGAATAGCCCGTCAGAGAGAGAGCTAGTGACCATGTCAACCTTCGTAGGTGTAATTCCAATTCGCTCCTCTATAGCTATAGCTACTACTTGCGGAGTAGTAGAGGAAAGGGTCGATAAAATCGCTCCTTTTTCATTAATTTCGACAGTCTCAACACTATGAGGGACCCCTGATAGGCGGAATACTGCCCAATCTTGCGAGGTCTCTATTCTAGCTGCAGAGAACAGGGTTTGAATAAAGGCCTTCTTTGTTAATAGAATAGTATCAAGGGCTTCTTTGTCCTTGGGGACAATAGCAAATCCAGAGTTAACTAACTGTACTTCCTGTACAAGCTCTTTACAGCCAATTTTTGGGTCGTAGAGGGCAAGGTAAATAGCTAGCGCAGAGTGTTTCCTTTCAAGAGAGTCTAGAGGTAGTCGTATAAAGACCCTAAGGTCAGATTTCGCTAGGGGTCTCTGACAGGAGGCGGGGGAGGAAGTAGTATAGTAGTTGCTATAGTGGAGCCTGGGTTTTCAGGCGCTGGGGCATTCTTTGTGGTCTGTGCGTATGAAAATTTTCCCTCGGGAGCCAAAGAGGGGGTTGGAATTGTAGGGGGCGTAGGGCTGTTTCCACCCCTGTAGGAGTCACTGAGAGCTAAAGGTAGTGGAGGCGGGGCCGCTGAGGTGTACGTTCGGTGGAAGGCTAGGCTGAGGTCGGCTACTTGGGTGCAAAAGGCCCTGAGGTAGGGCAAGAGGTCCGGAGGTGCCCAATCAAGAGCAGTACTTAGATAGTGGTCTACAGCTTCTGTCGTGCCCCCGAAGAAGATTTGGCCTATGGCACCACGTTCTAGTGCTTTGGTAGTCCCAGAGATGAAGTATTGTTGTATGTTGGGCAGAGGGGGCATCGGGCGTACTTCCCCCTTTCTCAAGCCCCTTCCCAGGGGCGTAGGCGAGGCCGGAGGTCTCCTTCGAGGAGTCTCCATGGAAGGAACTTAGCTTATTAAACGAGAGTAAGAGAGATTGAGCGATTTAGAACAAAAAATTCAATCTACGAAAAAAGGTGTGTGTGCTACTATTGCTAAACTCTCTTATGTATACTTTATAAAGACTGTCTATTAATTTTACCTTATACTTATGAAGTACTTAGCTATCTTTTCTTTCTTATATAATTAGTTCTAATTACCTAGTATAAATAATATCTAACCCTCTAAAAGAAAAACGCTAAACTAAAACCCTTATATACTACACTAGTACTACCTATACTATATTATATACCTAAATAACCTACTATAAATAATAATAATAAGCTACTTATAATTATAAATAACGTATAAGTAATACTAAGTACTATAGATTAGCTCCCTTAGCTTATTATGTTTTATCTTTATATCTAACACATATTCACCCTAGAACAATCTGAGAAAAAAGAGATACTATTTACAACTCCTCTCCATCTCCCTATCTCCATTTCCCTCTATCTCCATCAACCTCCTCCTAACCCCAATTACTAACCATCCATCCATCTAACCACCCTATCCCAAAGAATCTCAAAACCCAGACCCACCGCAAACCCACCGACTAATCCACAAAACAACAATCACAATCACATCACAAAGACAAAGACAAAACGAAAATATCATGAATTCCTATATTACAAGAGCCTTCCTTCCCAGACCCGGGTCACATCTCTTCTTTCATCTCTCCTCCGCCCTAGCTCGAACCTTAGCCTTGGACACAATTTGTGATCTCTGACTGAATACTCTGCTCTCCAAAGCCACAGTAGCACATACGACAACACCAAAGAAAACACAGAGACATGAGAGAATGAGAGAACTTTTGTAAAAGAAAAAAGAAGAAAAGATTATACAAAGAGGCCTACAAGTACCCCCCCCCCCNCCCCCCCCCATCCACCCTACTGCCCGCTTTATTCCATTCCGCTCAAAGCAAACACAAACAGAAAATAGCAAAAAAGATGCCCGCTGGCAAAAAAAAGAGTCTCTCATCTCATCAAACACAAACTCAATACTGTTTCACCGAACTCCGAAAACTCCTTCCATGCCCAAGTACCCCATTCCCATTCCCATTTGCAATTCCATGCCCATTAACAGCTCCCTTCAACACCCTCCTCGAGCTCACCGCCTTCTCCGCCTCCGCTGCCTCCTTATCCGAAATTCGCTTCTCAGCCGCCTGGAGCAATGCGCGCATGTGCGCAACCCCGTGACTAGTCTCATTCGCCAACTCGTCTTTGTAATCACGCTGAGCCTGGTCGAAAATAACCTGATGCCACTTCTCTAGACGATGATGCGTGATATGATACTCGAACGCCGCATCTTCCTGTTGATAGTCTCGGAAGAATGTATCTCGGACACCTGAATCAAGACGATCGAAGCGGTGATCTAGTTCGTCCGTTGCTGCACCGAGGATAGCTTCAGGGTTAATTGGTTTGATGACGGAATCCTTACTGAGGAGATCTGGTGCTGTTAGCTGACGTAACCAGAATGGTTGGAGGGGACAAAACTTACCATCCTTAAGACATGCTCTGAATGTCAGATACAGGGCCGTTCTTTCGAGTCGTTCAGCGGCTTCTGCATCGTTCATTCCCTCCGTGTCGTTAAGAGCTGCCCAATCATCTCTCAGCATACATCTTCGCCACACCACCCGCTGCATCAAAATGCTGTCGCCTTTATCAGGTACACCATGTCGAACTGCCTTCAAAGCGAGAAAGAATTGCTGATGTCGTAGTGTGTCTTCCGGACCATTGTCGCCCATAAGTGACAATAGATCGACAAGTTCCAGGCCAGTCATAGCTCGGTGTTCCACAAGCGTATTCATGTTCTCCGACAAAAGCGTGTAGAAGTGCGACGAGTTGTTCAATTGCTTCTGGTTTCCGTACGTCTCCATTGCCAATTGAACCTCTCCGATTTGGTCGATTGCATTAGATATAGTCATGTGAACGTGGTCATAGATAATTTCCTGTATCTTGATGAGAGCAAGTTGATCATGCGTTGAGCGGAGTTCCATCTTCCCGCCATCTGGAATGATGATACCATGATCCTCGCTGTAACTTTTGCAAGAAAGACGAGCCAGCTTTCCGATACTCAATTCGATCTTCTTGCTCCAAGCGTCTTGCTCCCGATAGCGCCCTAGATTTAAGAGAGTCTGTGATGCTTTGTCAAAGTCCTTCTCTCGAGTGACTTCCTGTATCCATCCAATTTTGGCATACTCTGGTTTCTCTCTCAAGAATTGGGTCAGATACGGTGACTTTTCTGGAAATCCATCCAGGAGATCTTTCATGGAATTGGTCTGAATAACCAGTTCATAGTATGCGCTTGCCCATCTCATACCGAATCTCTCGAAACAATGGCTGACTGTATTCTGCAACATGTTATTTCGGCGCTGAACATTCGGACGAAGCTCCGGATCAAAATTTGGATCGTCCAAGTTTGATACGCCTTCCTTGAGTTCGTAAAATAGTACTGACGCTAGAGTCGGTAGCATTTGATGTTGTTCGGCCAAGTGCATTGCCTCATCGGGTAACTCGAGTGCGTTTGAGAGCTCCTTGATTTCCTCCTCCAGTTCGCTTTGTGCCACTTGAAGCAGGTCGACCTGAATTTTAATTTGCTGATCCTGTTGTACTGAAGCCCACCTAATACGCTCGTAATTCGATCGAATAGCCATATCGATCAATGTATGCTGCTCATTTCGGACTTTGCTTAGTACGGCAGCACTAGGCTGGCCCTCCCGTTGATCGCCCTTGTCCCAATACTCCTTTAGGAGGACAGCTGCTAGTCGTGGCTGCTTCCTAAGATTCTCGACTAGATATTGCGTTGATGTCCAAAATTCAGGAAGACCCTCGTAGTCAGAAGTCAATATGCCATGCTCGAGTGGCTCAGTCTCAAGCCCATACAAGGAAACATTTTCCGTTCTGAAATCAAAAGCCCCTTGAAGAGCACCAATGACCAGATCATTGGCCTCGCTAAGTACTTCCATCACAACATCGTGTCCTTTCTCCCCATCTTGGAATGTGTATTTCATGACTTGATATGCCCACGGAAGCGCAATATCCAACCTCCAAATATCTTTCAGGAACCAAAATCGAACTCGATCTAGTTCCCCGGCTTCTGTAACTGGATTCGATTTGTAGTCCTCGTGGATAAACTCGACAACTTCTGTCAATAGGCCCCGCTTTTGTCCTGCTGGTTTTTCACTGACACACTCATCATACTTTTTCCAAACAATCATAGCAGCTGCCATTTTCTCGGCGTCCCAAAGTAACCTCCATCGCGTAACCCTATCAAGTTCAACTCCGCTAGACTGTAGATAGCAGGCAAGCTCATGAAGAGCGGCTGACCGTAAGCGAAGATTTTGCTCAACCGAAGCTGTCAAGGACGGGATTTTGGATATCTCGGATTTCAGGATATCAGCGCTTAATTCCAGAGCCGCCTCAGCTACCTCCCGAGATGGAAATTCCGACTCAGGTCGCACGGCAAAATTGATCGGATTTTCACTAAGCGTTCCATAAAACACTGCTTGAGTTAATTTGGTTTTTGCGGTAACTTGAGGAGCCGTTTCGGCTGAGCGTAATTTTGAAACGTCATTTGCGGCTACTCGTATTACACCACCTCCGCGAACAAGCAGGACGGTAGATGGCTGTTTGATTTTATATCGACGAGTTTTGTGGTCTCCACTTGTGGATTGGAGGGCGGTGGGATTTTCCATTCCAGATCCAACGATTTCAATATTGAGATCACCGCTGAAGTCTACAACATCTTCAAAGGTGTGTGGGTAAAGGTGGTTTTCAGCCATCAGTTGCGAGTCGGGCGATTCTTCTTGTTTGGCTAGCGAAACAACCACCACAGCTAGATTAAAGACAACAAAAGCGAGATTAGGATCTGGTAGATAGAGTCGGCTTTTTGAAGTTGTATTCCGGTCGACAGGTGTTGCATAGGACTTAATTGGGCGGATACTACCGATTATGAGTTCAGTGGGACTTAGAACAACTTCGACGAGTGAGTAGTGGGACACATTTCTGTCAGTCAAAGAAGTCAAAAGTAAAAGTGGCTGTCCTCCATTTTTACCTCGTCGAACAACTGCCGTGCTTGAATTCGATTCCGTCTTTTCCGGCTTATACGCGATATCCAGAAGTTCGAATGTTTCAATAAGAAGATGGTTTAGTGACGGTATCGCCTGCTTAATCGCCAAAATAATTGGTTCTCTTGAATCCGATTCCGCAATCATCGAGGTATGCCCACTCCTATGTATATCCCAGGACTGGATCTTGCCCTTCTTTGTCGCCAGTACCACATTTCTCTCGCCATTTCTGTCAGATGGGCCAGCTCGTATGGCTGAGATTTCACCATGCCAGGAGGAGCTCGATAGCACATTTCGTAGACTCCCAAAAATTCCGGTATTTGCTGAACCATTCCCACTTCGAAGAAATTGCACAGAAATTTTAGGCTTTCCGTTCCCATCTCTGACGGTCATAAATGCAATTCTGCCAGTACTGAAAGCAAGCATAAAACCAGCGGATTCTGCATTAAGTATTTGTACAACCTTTTCCCCCGACATCATCCCAGCAATCTTTTCCTCGACGCCATTTCGCTGCAGTCGTAGATTTAGTGTAGCCGCGCTTGCAATTGACTCCCAATATGTGATTTTTCCCGTATTAGGAATAATTACCACCAGCCCAGGTTCCTCGGAGGATGCTGAAGCAGATACCAGGGATCCCAAGGGCAGCGGGTCGAATGTATGCTTAGAGGCTTCGGGAAGGGCGAAAGAAAAGGATTCGGGTGAGGCTTCGTGCGCAGTATAAGGCCAGACGATCGCGTGGGTATGGGTGAGGGCGAGGGCATATCCGCTGTCAGAATAGATTGCACCATGTTGACGACCTGGGGAAAAGCATTAGCTTCATCAGTTTTAGCGGATCACTTGCTACATACTCATGGCATCTCTGCGAAGAAAATCGGGTAAAGCGGGGAGCTTGCTGACGGTATATGTATCATTCTTGGTCTACGAAAGCAAAAGTGAGTTAGTACATGGCTTCCCAAGGATGCGAACAGCTCCACGACCCCACGAGGGAGCTTACCAGATTGACACTCCCATCCTCTTTCATCAGCCTCTCGCCAGATCTTTGCTTCTTCCCCCGGACTGCAATATCCCTGGTGGGAATGGTGGCGATGGGAGGGCTTTCGTGCCTGGCTAATGTTGGCGACAATTTCAAGAGGTTTGGTTTGGTTTCCTCCATCTCAACGGGTCCATCTGGTGGCACAAATGTATGTTCAGTCATTGTGCTTCTCTGCCTCTTGGCCTTGGGGCCGGAACCTTCATTGGAAGCAGGTCGTGCCCGTCGTCTGCTGGTACGAACGGTGCCCACAGGCGTGTTGGCGCTGGAAGCAGAAAACATGGTGGATGCGTCGCGCGTCGCGAACGGCGGAAGTCAACTATTCTGGAATCGTTGTGTTTGAATAACGGCTGTTTGTCATCATTTGGGAGTGAGAGAATGGCGACCGGAGGCGAACGCGCACTTTTGTCCGGGTGAGTAGCGTTGTGGTTGTGTTTACTTTGATGATGCTCTGGAGACTGGGGAACTTTGAAATTGAGGCAGAATCCTAGGAATAGGTGGATTCTGAGCCTGAGGCCAAAGGCGGTCAAGCAAGTGGGGTATGTCAATACGAACCTGGAAGGTAACGAACGACCTGAGCAACTTCACTCTCAGAGCCTTTCTAATCGCTCAAACACTAATATCGAGAACAATCCAAGCCTTTTCAAAGAAGGTGTTTCTGGATGGGAGACAAGGCGGCATGCTCTAGATATCGAGTTATATATTGAGATCAGCCAGTAAACAATCGCACCCCCTTTTTGTATCTGCAGTATGCATAGCACACTTCCCGAACTAGTGAATGCCATATTTACTTTTCAGTACAACCAGGAATTGCCTTTACCTAGGTAGCAAGAAAGCCAAATCACCATGCTATTGGCAGCATAAATTACAGGTGCGAGCTAGCAACTGAGCTAAAAGCACGTTCCAGAAGTCAAGATACTGTAGCCGAAAGGATCTATGACGCTAACTCCGGCAACATTTTCATTCCCCGATCATCGGCCACCTCAGGTTATCAACTTAAACTCAGAACAACCTCAAGAATGAGGAATTACAGATGTCTAGATCACTTTCTTCTGTCACGTCACTAGCAATCACAAATCCTCTCGTTTTATATCGATCCCTTCTCCAGACCAAGCAGATAGCCCCTGATCCGGCACAATATCGACTAGCTCTTCAATTACAGAAATTATATACGAATCTTCTCGATTATTCTCCACAAATTCAATATGGAGCTCGACTCAAAGAAATCAATCGTGTGGTTGAGCATACCATGGAGAAGGATGACCGGGTGCTCGCAGTTGCTGGTCACCCACTGAGACGCAACCCTTTATTCTCTCATTTGTTTTCTGACAGCAAGCGAGATACACTCGCTTTAACGCGAGTACTGACGAGTCATGAAACGGCAATAAATCTGGACTCTCCAAGAGGGTTGCTACTACATGGAGAAGTCGGAACTGGGAAAAGCATGATGGTAGACCTGTTGGCGGATTGTCTTCCCAACCAAAAGAAGAGAAGATGGCATTTCAACACTTTCATGTTGGAGATCCTTGCACGCCTGGAATACCGTCGTAAAGATGGAAGTCCAAATCCAGAACATTCCTTGATTTGGTTGGCAAAAGACATGATAGAAACATCCCCTATCCTTTTCTTAGACGAGTTTCAATTGCCAGACAGAACCGCATCAAAGATATTAAGTAGTCTGTTGACAACTTTCTTTCAACTGGGTGGAGTTTTGATTGCATCATCGAACCGTATGCCAGATGAGTTATCCAAGGCTAGTGGCATGGATTTCACGACTCCCCCTGGAGGTGGGTTTATGAGGAAATGGCTTGGTTATGGCGAAGGACGGACACCAACCATGTATCCATCAAACAACGAGTACGCGGGTTTTGTAGAGGTCTTGAAGGCTCGGTGTGAAATTTGGGACATCCGAGGAGATCGTGACTGGAGGAGGAGAGATGCCGAGGAAGTTATAAGTGTTGGATCTGAAGCTTTGCGGCAAGAGTTGATTGAGGATGTTTTTGAAAGAGAGCAAGGTCGAACGGACCACTTAGCTGGTCAGTCAGATTTACCAATCGAGGAATCCGAAAGCCAGGCGACAAAGTTACCTAGCAAATATTTCTTAATGCCATCTAGCGAGCGTTGGGATGAGACAATTGGGGGCGTTTTGAATGTCAAAAGTGGTAGCCCGATTCCTTGGGAATCATCAACTATCTCAGTATATGGTCGGAAAGTTCCAGTCCCACGGCATTTCGAAGGTATCACTTTCTGGACATTTCGAGAACTTTGCGAATCAACATTTGGCCCAGCCGATTACATCACACTAGCCTCGACCTTTCACACTCTCATATTAGACAATGTCCCAGTCCTACATCTTGCTCAAAAGAACGAGGCTAGGAGACTTATCACTCTTCTAGATGCTTTATACGAAGCGCGTTGCAAGCTGGTCATTCGAGCGGAAAGCGATCCAGACTCCCTCTTCTTCCCAGAAATAAGAACAACTTCAAACACCGGCGCATCGACTGCTTCTCAACAAGATAAAGATGATGACGGGGATGCTGTATATCCCGAGACTCTTGCTGAGATCTACCAGGATCAAACTTCCCCATTCAGACCAAACATTTCGTCATATACAGATGATTCAAGAGTAGGATATGATTCAGATGAGGACTCGGACTTTGGCCCTGTTCCTGGGAAAGGAAACGAAATTGGGCGTCAGGTTGACTTCGGAAATACTAGTTCTATTACTGGAGAAGACGAGAGGTTTGCGTATAAACGAGCAAGCAGTAGACTTTGGGAGATGTGTGGAGCGAGATGGCATGCGGGATCTGAGCCTAATGTAAGAATTTCCCTTCACTTTATATCCGCTCCAAGCTTTATTCTTTTCTTCATTTTTCCAATCTTACTTCTCGCTTATGCCTAATTCTTTCCTTCTTATTTTTGAGCAAGAAGAATCCTGCTCAAACAAACAAGTATTTGACTTCTTGATGTATTTCCTCTACACTTCATTCAATATCTAACAAATTCCCAGTGGTGGAGACCTCTACCCCTCGAAGTCCGAAAATGGGAACGCTCAGCATCAGCGGCGATTTCAAACCCTCCACAACCAAATTCAGAAAGCGACGTCAAAATCGGGACGTTCATTGAATTGGACGAACCTGCAGGACTTCGTGATAATAGAAATCTGAAGGAAGAAGAGAGTCAGCCGAGGACTCCCTTTCGAGAGCCACGAGATCCGCCCACGAAGATTGGATGGACTCATGCGTGGGGGATGGCGAAGTGGGGAAAGAAAGCTGGACCTTGGGGCCAGGGTGTTGATGGATTGGGAGATAGAAAGAAGGGGAGTGAGAAGGGAGATTGAGGGAAGATAGAGCTTGAAAAGAGCTAGAAAGATGTTAATTGGTACCATACGAAGCTTAGAAGCTTCGGTAGATCCTTCAAAATCGACTAAGTGAGAAGACCAATCGAGAGGGTCTTTGAGTTCTGTGTTCAAATACTTTACACCAAATAGACATCATGAGTGCATTCTGTACAAATCACTGATTAGAGCCAAGAGAGCAACATTTTCCCTCTCAGATCCAAATTGCGAGATGTCTAGTCACACTTTATAGTTATTGACAAGGGTACGAGTAGTACTGTATGTAAGACAAGGGGTCGGGGTCCACAACTTAGCCTTCTAACCTCCAATCCTCAGCCTCGTCAATATAAACTCAATCGCAACATCATCACCACCACATCCTTACACCACTCCCAAAAACCAAAAACAATGTCAGCAATCCCCTCAATAGCCTGCATAGGCATACTCGGAAAAAACGTATCTCTCCCTCCCCCTTCCCTACCCTACCCCCCCAAACCAACTAACACACACACCCAGAACAACCCCCTCCACATAACCCTCTTCCCCTCCCACCCCCTCACCACACCCCTCCGGACCCCCGTCCAGTTCTCCCTCCTCCTCTCCAGCACCCTCGACATTTTCGCCGCGCGCTCGAAAGTCAACATCTCAGTCGGCGGCGGCCTATCGGGCGATTACGGACTCCTCCACGCGATTGATGAGCGCCTCGCCGCGTATGGGTTCGAGACGAATACGGGTGTGAAGTTTGTGGTGGTTGTGGATATGAGGGGACGGGGGATTAGGGGGGGAGAAGTAGGGGAGAAGGTGGGTGGGGGATTGGGGTTGAGGGAGGGCGAAATGAAGATTGTGAGTTTTTTTGTTTGGGGGATGGGGATTGGGGTGGGATGGGATAAATTGGTGATGAGGAGGGAGTAATGCTAATTGCTACATAGGTCTTCCGACAACTACAAAATGCCTACGTCCATTTACTACAGAACCCCTTCTACAGTCCCGATGAACATAGTCCGCCTACCGGTCGAGGGGGGAAGAAAATCACCAGTAGGAGGTTCGCAGAAGATGTGAGGAGGATTGGAGAGACTTGGAGACCTGGAGCTGGGATCAATTGATGTTTTTTCAAACCGACAGAGGGTGACGATTAGGGATGAATTGAAGAGGGAGTTCTGCGTTTATGGCATTGGCATGGCGTTTTGAGCGAAGGGACGAGTATATGTTCCTAATGCTTGCCCGAATTATGATTAATTTCGAAAAGTATGTATTAGGATATGTGATATTTTGGACTTCGGCTGAGAGCTGTTGGGTAAGTGCTATTCCGTGAATCGCTACCCACAAACTATTAAAACTCTTCAGATTTCCTCTCTCGCCTAATCCATCTCAGAAGAACAGAAAGAGCCCTACCTCTGCCCCTCTCCCACAAAACCCCTCAGCCATTCTTGAAAACAATAAGTGACAATCCAGAAATCTACAAGCAACATCTCTTAACTCAAAACACTCCCCCCCCAATCTTCCCAATATCTCCCAGCATTCAAAAAGAAGAAGAAAACAACATCCAAGAAAGAAAGAAAACGATTCAGAAGTTTCCTAACATCTCTCAATACCCACCCAGCCTCTCACATTCCCTACACCCTCAACTGTCAAAACCTCCAAAGCCAAACCGTCAACCCAATCTACAACCTCCCACCAATCCCTCACCCATTCAAATCCCACCAAAACCCAAACAAACCATTCAATCTCATCATCGAAACCACCTACCCAAGTAACCTTCAAATCCATCACTTAAATCTATGAAAAGGTACAGCTGTCGAGCTCGATCACTCTCAAAACCTCCTACCACGATACTAATAAGAGATAATATTAAGAAAACATTTATTCATGTTCCACTCGATAATTTTTAAGATAGTTACCATCCATATTCTGTCGAGTATTTATAGTAACCTCCCAGGAATATTTGTCTACGTGGATGCTATTGTTGGCTTTTACAACCTCTAGGCACCTCTCCATACAAAAATTCTGGACGTAGCTCAGACAAGGAGAAGAGTTACTGAGGCCTCTAGTCATAATCATCACATATCACGTAAGTCTAAGGTTTATCTAAGGAGCAACTCTATTCTGTAACGACTGACTAGATAACAAAGCCTTTCCCTTTTTTTTGCCTCCTGATTTGGATACAAGGGTGAAACAGTGCCAAACGAGAAAAACCGAGAAAAGACACAACCTTTCCACAAATCAGAAGCAGGACCTTTACCACAGTAATATCTGCGGCCAAAACGCAGAATCAAAGCAGATATCACCTCCCAATTCTAATTGCAGAAAGTCGCAATATGATAACAAGAAGAGCACCCTCGGAGAGAAAAGAAATACATCAATGCAAAGTGCGATCTGCCAAATAGTCAAGGTGAAATAGTAGCGGCCACCAGCAAAGGCGGCGATAAGCATACTATGATTCAACCTATCGCAAAACCGTAACCATGATGTGTCCAAAGCACTGAAGAATCATCCCCAGCGTAGGATGACCAGTATTGGTAAATTAGGTTGTCGGAGAAAATGTTGGAAAACAAGAAAGAAATATCGCAGCCTGGCTTGACAATTATGGACTTTTGGTGTGAACACAGAGTGGAAACAAACAATGTTGAACGTGGCTTTCGTAGGATGTAACAGCCAATTTATGACATCCTTAGATATGAAAGACCAAAAGTACACAGAGAGACGGAGCCCTTTCGATATCATGTGTCATCTTAAGATCGTGAAGTGAGCCAAAGCCAAGACACAGGTGAGTGTAAGATGTCAGAGCAACGAGGTGGATATCGAATGATATTGCTTAGCGATAAGCTCCACCATATCTTGGGGTCTGTTGAGGAAGACGGGGATTGGGAGCACCGATGGCTGGGCCAACTCCAGGACCAGGACGAGTTTGGATGGCAGGATTAGTGCAGAGCATACCAACTCGAGAACCAAATTTGGAACCACGGAGAGAGACCATGTGCTTTCGGATGTGCTGAGCAACGATCTCACGATGTTGAGGGTTGGAATGTGTGAGAATGTACTGGATGAGGTAGTTGCCATATTGATCACTTGCAATGTCGATCAATGGAATGCGTGGTCTATCGAGACGGCCTTCGCATACTCGGTCAAGGTAACGTCCTAGGAAATCAACACCGCCAATCTTGAGGCATTTTTCAACAACCTTGGAGGCGAACTGATCCATGCTGTACTCAGAGGCATAACGAATGACGTGGTCGATGGCACGGCTTCGGTCAGCTGGAGCACCGTGTTCGCAGATGTGTTGGATGCACCAGTTTCCGAATTGACCATGGGCAACGATATCAATACTGGCAAGGACCTCTTCGATACAAGGACGCTAAATTGTGATTAGTCAATTCCATAGTGGGATTTTCAGGGGGGGGGATGAATACCTTATCATCCTCGAGACAATTCTCAAAGATGTTCTGTACAACCAAACTACCAGTCTCACCAAGAGCAACCTCATGCCACATTCCACGAAGAGCCTCGTTGACATACTTCATGATTTGTGGGGGAGATTCGGTCCATCGGAGCTCAAAGAGCTTTTGCCAAACGTGACAAGCGTATCGATGAATAACGGTCTCCGGAATGCGACGAAGGAGTTCATGAACCATGATTGCCTTGTAGTCCTCAGGGACAGAGTCAAATGCCTTTTGAACGACGTGGCAACCAAATGCATCCATGGAAAGGTTCAAAGTGTTACCTCTAATGGCTTCGGCAATCTTGATAACCTGCTCCGCAGTTCCATGCTCGAAGCATCGTTGAACCAAGAAGTTTCCAAAGCGATTGACCATCAAGGGATAGGCTTGTGCGACAATTGCCTCGACAATGTCGTACTTTTGCTCTGTTGTGCCGACCTTGAGCTTCTGTTGGAGGAAGATTGATGCCTGTTGATCATTGTTGCATACAATCTTATCAACGATATACTTCCAGTTGCAGTTGACAGTTCGATCAAGGAGACGACGATAGTTGAGAGGCTCTGTGGTGGGCAAGTAAGTTTGACCCTCGGTAGCAACGACCTAAATATGGTTAGGAGATTCCCAAACATGTTGGACTTGCAGACTTACCTCGCTCTTCCATCCACCGGTGCTGGAGGTGAATTCAGGGGCGTGTGGAGAGAGCGGTGTACCAATTGGCTGAGGTTGATAACCACCATACATACTACCACCTCCCATACTCATACCACTGCTCATGCCAACTCCACCAGCCATACCTCCGACGGAACCATATGGTGTTGAAGCAGGTGTATATCCATCGTAGGAACTGCTGCTACTGGCGTATGGGAACGAGCCTCGACCAAAGCGACCAGGACCTTGATTACGGCGACCAGCAGGAGGAGCCATGAGTAGATCAGTGTCAGGAGCTAAACGATCAGCGCGGAACGCACTCATTGGGGGACCAGAATATGGCATTGGTGGGTCGACAAATGGTTGGCCGCCAAAGCCACGATTCATCCACTGGTTGGAAGAGTCGGAGGACTGAAAAGCTGGTACAGGACCTTGAGGATAACCAGGCTTACCTCCGTTACCCCAGATGTTGCGGGCACGATTGAAACCACCAGCAGATAATGCGTCGCTTGTGTCGGAACGAGAATCATCTTGAGCAACCCAAGATGCCTCACGCGAGATTTGGGGGCGCATACCTGAGTTCATTGCTTGTTGAATGTGGGCCAAGCGAGGGTCGGAGAGCTCAGCGTTGACGCCGAAATCAACTTCGGAGGCAGTGCCGATGGCTTGGTCGATAGTGTGCTTTGTGATTCGACTTTGAGAAAGTTCTTGGTCCATACGAGCCATGCGAGCCTTTGCAGCCTCAAGCTCAAGCTTCAATCGAATGACTTCTTCGCCGCCGGCCGCAGAGGAATCGTCACCAATGGCACTTGGAGGAGCAGTACTTGGTGTGGAGCTTTGGTTGGCCTCAGTGACAGGCGTGATTGGCAGTGGGGCATTCGAAGTAGAAAGGTATTCGACAGTTCGAGAGTACGCTGTAGAATCCTCGGAAGATTTGAGGGCCTTTTGTTGCTCGTTGATGGTGGCACTCTGCTCCGAGAGCTTCGCAAGTAGCTTGTCCATCGCGTCAGAGGATGTGTGGGAGTCGTGGCTCATCTTCATCTTCTGCGGAGGTAAGTACTTGCTTTGGCTTTCCGTGATGGACAAGGAAGACAAGTAGGAGGACAAGCTGACCTTTGGGGCCGCCTGGTTTCCAAGCTTGCTCGACATCAAAGCTGTAGCAGACTTCTTGAGGGAGTGTGTGCTGTCCTAAAAGATACCGAAAGTCAGCATCAATCGAAGCTTCTATTTATCATTGGTACAATGCAGGTGTGTGATGATGTCCAAAGAAGAGGGGGCGTTGCGGAAATATTTGGATCGAGGGGTGGCGGGGTAAATGTTTCTTCGAAGAGTGAAGGGACGAGAGCGTGGGCCTTGTGGGAGGACTCGATGTCCAGAAAGGAGAATTGAACTTACAGATCTACTGCCCAACTTGGCGTCCTCAATGTTGGCGTTCTCTTGGGAGATACTTCTGTTGGTACCAGTGCGGCGGAAGGTGGGAGAGCCTGTGGAGGCAGTGGTCGACATGAGGGGTGGTCTGTGGGAAATCCTTCTGTCTGGAAGAGAACAGTAGATGGATTGGCTGTACAGCTAAAACTGTGCAGTGCGTTGGGTCTGTGGAAGAAAGAAGAAGGCTTTCAGATGCTTCACGATGGCAGATGATGGGATGGTAGGTGGAGTTGTAGATGTCCAGAAGAAAGGTCAGGAGAAGAAAAGATCAGAGGAGTCGTAGCTCGAAGCACAGATGGAAATAAATACAGAAAGAAGGAGCACCTGGAGACGTGGTAGTGGTACTCCCAAGTCGGCAGTCGCGTTGTTGGGAGTAAGAGTTTGAAGGAAGATATCGCAGATCAGATCGGTGAGTAGGTTTTTGATTAGGCTTGCAGTGGGAAGGCGGCGCCTTTGTGCGTGGAGAGGAGGCAGCGAGGTCAGAGACCCTCTGCTCTTAGGTGAAGTCCATAAGGTAGGCACGTCTCTCAACCTATAAGCACGCGTACTAGCGCAAGCACTCCGATTCACCCAGAAATTGCATGACGACAAGTAAACAATATTCACTACCCTGGTAGAGGAAAGATAGAATGATAGGTACAATGTAACGTTCACCATAGAAGCGACGACATACTTCTGGATTCTTGCTCTTTACAAGCTTTGAGCGCATAACAATTGGGAATTGACTAGGCTGAACTAAAAGTGCTCGTATGTTTGAGAAGCGCCCTGAATATTGTGCTATGCAGACAAGCCAGTAGAGTTGGCATTTCTTCAGAGCCCAAGATGCAGATTTTCAGAGCCATTGACCCCACGTTCAAGAATACACTGAAGGGTTGAATGACATGCCTTTTCAGACTTAATTTTTGTCTCTTTCTCTCTTATTTGATTGAACCTCATAGAAGTCAAAATTCCCTCGTCGAATCCCATTAATTGGTAACTTTGGGCTATTGAAACAGATTCCACTCTTCCCAATATACTCAAGAATGGAGCGCCATCATGGCTACACAAGAGCCGATATGACGAGGCGAAAACAAAATTGAAGACTTACGATGGAGGGCATCAACCCCCAAGACTGATCTTGTAATTGTGCAAATAGAACATCTCTATGCTGAGCAGCCATCTTCCTGTATTGGTGTCTCTTCTGGTATCTCCACCAAACGCCGAGTATTTTACAAATAAACCATATCTGATACACATTTCCTGCATTATTTCTTTCGCTAGTTCTATGTAGCTGTTCCAGCGGCTCTCTCCGCCGCACGTTTCTTGTTCTTGAACTTCTTTGATTCTGCAGAGTGTCAGTATAGACCCAGTACCCAGCGCGGTTATACAGACCTTCCGCCGTCCTCTTCTTCTTTGGTGCACCCTTTCCGCGTGCCTTGATACTGCAAAGTTATTAGCTGGTGTTCCAACCACCTCTCTTTCCCTTGTAGCATACATCTTGAGCATTTCCCGCCGATGCTCCTCCTCCTCATTGATAACCTCCCACTCTGGATACGCCTTCTGCAGGTCCTTGTACGTGCCCATTTTCCTTGGATAATATGATGCCAGAGCCGGTCCCTTTAGTCGTTGGCGCAAGACTTTGTTTCCGAGTCGCTGGCCTTCGGGGTTGAAGGTATGGGAGAAGATTCGACATTGGACCTTGTAGAATAAGTATTCTGGCGAGTACAGTTTCTTGTATATCAGATAAACCTACCTTCATCAGGTCCAATATCCTAGAACGTGGCACAGCCATTGCTGGTGATATTTGCGCTGTCAATCGGCGATGTCTTTGGTCTTTTTGGTTGTCTGAGGTTGGGTTGCTTTTTAGTGGCGCACATCGGGCCGTTTTCTCCGACGCCGAAGAAATTCTTGATCTTAATTGGAAAGCCTTCGACTTGCGACAAGTTTATCGCTGACACAAACAACTCGTTCACCGCGATCTTTATTCTCTGGTCGCGTTGCCCTGGAACTGACATTGAATATTTAAAAGTTGTCATTTTCCGTGTCAATTCTAGGTACCAGCAGAGGTAAGAATTGGTGAGGTGTGCGAGGGTGTGCTACAAACTTCTGCTACACATTCACAAGTCACCAACCCAACCCACCCAAATTTAACCCACGCGTTTTCACTTGCTCTCACCAAATCTCAATTTGGGAGTCAAAACATATATTCCAATGATGGAGGGTTCTAGTGGCCAAAAGAGGAAGTCCTCGGACAATGAAAGAACGGACGAGCGGAAGTCTAAGTATCACAAGAAAAATGTAAGTTTAATCTTAATACCTCTCAATCAATCTGACAATTCTGTAGAGCGCGGCATCCCCAGAGAATAAGACTCACAAAACTGACCGTGATGTTGGTGGTGATCCTAGCTCAATATCTCAAGTTGAACCAGGACCTAGCAAGATCAGCAAACTTTTAAAGGCTTTGGATGAAGCCTTAGAAAGCAACGCAGTTGATGGTAGTTTTATGTCTGAGGCGATCTCAAGGAAATGCCGCGAGCTTCGAGCGTCTTTACAAGATGATTCGCCAAACGATCAGATACCCCCAGATCCATCCCAACCTGGTCTCAACATCCCAAAAACAATACCAGCTACACTTGTCACGGCATGGAAATCATCGGAAATACCAAAGGATATGCCTCCGCTTCCACCCATCTTGAATAAAACCCTCGAGACAGCATGCTTCACCCATACGAACGCAGGAGGCGGTAAAGTTACGGATCTCAACTACGAAAGACTTGAATGGGTGGGGGACACATATCTTGAACTTACAGCTACTCTACTTATTGCTCAGACTTTCCCTGCGTTCAGTCCAGGGAAATCATCACAGCTCCGAGAACGGCTTGTTAGAAATTCTCAACTGTCACAATACGCCAGGTTTTATGAATTTGACAAACGGGCGAACCTTGGACCAAATTTCGTGGCCAAGGCCGACGATATGATGAAAATATCGGCAGATATATTTGAAGCTTATGTTGCGGCCGTTATTCTTTCAGATCCAGAAAATGGCATTTCGATGGCTGTGGAATGGTTGAAAGGAGTATGGGGAAGGACTATCTCGCAAGAGATTGCAAAAGAAGAACGGAAAGACTTCCGCTACCGCAACCCCATGTGGCACCTCCCAGGCGATGTCAAGGAGGCGGTTGAGACTACGCAAGAACAGGCTGCTCCAATGGCACTTAAGGACCAATTACAAAAAGCATTGGGAGCCAAAGGAATCAAAATTTATTACGAAGACATTGGCCAGGCATACAGGGACCGGAAAACTAAATTACCAGTCTTTACAGTGGGAGTTTTTCTCGATGGATGGGGAGAGAAAGGCAAGCAGCTTGGTTATGGATCAGCTGGAGGAAAGAAAGAAGCAGGGGCGAAAGCAGCTCAGATGGTATTGAAGAACAAAAAATTGATGGCTGTGTATTTGGAGAAGAAGAGGTTATTTCATGAGCAGATGGAATTGGAGAGAGAAGCTTTAGAGGCTGCAGGGGAAGCATGATTCAAGTCCTTGTCACAAAAGGAAGGTTGAGACTCGTCTACACAGCGGTGAAGGATCTGAAGATGGAGCTTCATGTAAAGTATTGTCCAGCGCAGAGTGCAAACAATGATACCCACCCACAACCATGATATAAATTTCTAGGCGACCGCCTCCGAGGTCCAAACAAACACGCGCGTGCATAAATGCGCCAAAGCAGCAAAACGTTGGATAACCACGAGGCGCATGTTGCAAAAAGTCAATCCCAATTTGCATAAAACCCAATCTCTTTCTCTCGTCGTCTTTTCCCAATCCGTCTTTCACTCTCCGCTTTATTTTACGAAATTTACGAAGAAAATCCGGGGTGCCCCGATCTGATCTGTGATTTCCTTAGCCGGACGCCAGAGGGGTTCACGGTCTAAGAAAAGGGATCCCTGTGGATCTTTAGGTGCGGTATGGATTAGGGACCGAGGCAAATAATCAGCAGCACGCGATAGAACTCAGTGCACAGCAACACAACTTTCTTTTCTTACTGACTCCGGTGCACGACTTTTTCTTTGGTACTGAGATTTTGATACCCCCTTTCCAATACTTCGATCATTGACTGTTGAGGTCTTTTGCGCAGATGATAGCCTCCTTTCAAGGCTTGTTTCTGCTACACCGACGCAGATACGGGTCTTGAACCATTGACAGAGGAAGAGACGGCGGGAGAGATAAGATGGCGGACTCGGTGGGTAAGTAAATCCCCTCGATTCTTGGGCTCTAGGGACTTTCTCTTGGGATTCAAACTGACTTCAATGGCTGCTAGACCGAGTTTTTGTCCATGCTCTCAATACCGTCAAGAAGATACCCAAGACGGGGGCGTCGCGTCCTCCACCCTCCGATCGATTACGTCTCTATGGACTATACAAACAAGCAATGGAGGGGGATGTGGATGGGGTCATGGAACGTCCTTCAAGTGTAGCCAGTGACGAGGACGGACCTAAAGACGAAGATCTGAAGAGAGAAAGGGATAAATATGATGCCTGGGATGCGCAGCGTGGTATAAGTCGGACGGAGGCGAAAAGACGATACATTGAAGCGCTAATTGGAACTATGCATAAATATGCCAGTGCTACGGCGTAAGTTCTCGGTATCGCGTATGGGAATGCACGGAACTGATAGGAATGGGTAGTGACGCAAGGGAACTGGTTGCAGAACTCGAATTCGTATGGGATCAGATTAAGAATAATACGGTTTCTTCCTCGGGATCTTCTCCTGGAAATCGAGTGCCTTTTTATAGTAGTCAACCTCGACGCTTTACACAACCTCAATCCGGAAATGACGGGCCCATGCGAATACTAAGTCCGATGAGCGAGAATGACGAATTGGAATTGAGATCTGAGAGGAGATCAGGGTATGGGGAACAGTACGAAGACGAAGACGAAGACGACGAGGACGATAGTAAGACACCGAAAAGCTGGAGGAAAACCGTTGAACAAGCCCTGGTAAAGATGACTGCTGAAATCGCGGCTTTGAGGGAGCATATCGCCACAGGTAGAGAATACCAAGGCAAAAGGCAGAGAACCATCGGAAGATGGCTTGCCTGGTTTATGTGGTTATCCATTCGACACTTACTGATTGATTTCGCATTGTTGGGGATCGTACTACTATATCTAAGAAAGAGGAAAGATAGAAGAGTGGAAGATTTGGTCAGATCAGCACTGAAGATTGGCCGAGAATACGCACGAAAGATATTACCACCAAGATGAAGATTTCCATCATAAAATTATTTCGAATATTTCTACAAATTCGCAAAGTTATTTCGGGCGATTTCTCGGCAATCAAAGCTTGGTTTCACACTGATTTCACAAGGAAAAGACGAAGTCACCGCACCCAAGGACTCATATTAGAGCAACATTTCATTGATAAATGCTGTCAAATATAGGCGGAAATCTTTAATATACCCCTCACGACATGGCAGTAAGTTGAGCTGCGCCCTCAACAGCACCATGCATCTTTACTCTCTCCGGAGCGAACAACTCGACGGCGGGAGTATGTGTATTTACCCATTCGTCACTATCCAACACACCAGCTTTGAGAATAACTTGTCCGGGGAAGGATTCGCCGGTACGATAACAAGTAGTACCGCAACCGCCGCAGAAGTGAGAGGTGATCTCCTTGCCCGTATCGGCTTTCTTAGAGATTTTCTTTGGTGTGCCTGGAGTTCTGCTATCAGCCTCTGGCGCACACAACCTGTATAACACAGCGAGAGGATTGGAACAAGAGGGAAAAGGAGGACGAACCGCTAAGAAGTTTGAAGTTATCTTCTGTTACAACAATGTTGTTGCTATAATCTCCGCCGGAGATTTTCTTGCAATCGGCGCAGTGGCAGAGAGCGTGGAGTTTTGGTTCACCGGTGAACTGGAGACGGATCTAATGTGTATTGTATATTATCAGTAAATTTTAAATCTTAACGTATCAATCAAATCCCCACCCAGTCCCTATTCGATTATGTCAAGAACGAACCTGGTTGCAGAAACAACCTCCTCCTTGGGTAGACATTTTGATATGAGTGATTGATTGGGTGAAATGTAATTTTAGGTGGGGATCTGGAGTAGGATAGTTTGATTGTTTTTGTCTTTTATGTGGATTAAGAGCACCTTGAAGGGTAGGTTATGGGGTATATATATTCTCCTTTTCCCTCCTCCAGCTATCATCTGGTGTGAGTGGGAGCTGATTTTGGTGTGACGCAACAGAGTCTACCCCTCCTTTCTCCATGCGAACCGTTAACTAGATCGGGAAATTTCTTGATGACAGCCCGAGGGTCCGAGTGCGAAGGGAAGGCCTAGGGAATTCCAAATACTTATTTCGTTTGGTGTAGACGAGGATTACATGTTGTGTAAGTGATTAGCTGTTCGTCTGACATCTGATTTACTGACGAAATACCCATTGATGCAGACGGGGCTTAGATGAGTCTTACTACGATGCGATTGATCTTTGAATATTCTACAATACTGTAACTACTCTATGATAGCTGTCAGAGATCTCGAGAGATTCGTGAAGCAATCATACTGAATCTGTCAAATCCCACTATCCTGCATCTTCAAGGGATCAATGATGCGGGTGCCATCCACTCATATCTATTTCTATCCACTATCGGATTAGTGTGTACCTTCTACAGTACTCGAGTGCACCCTCCAAACCCTAGATAATCGCATCCCACTGCATTGCCTACCGCATCTTCTGAATAAGGTTCTTTCGACAAGGAATTGTATTTTGGAATTTGGAATTCAAAATCTTACCCTTTCTATGAGACAGATTAATCGGCAATCATAGACGCTAATTGGCCTTCGGGATTTGACGTTGAAGTCCTCAAGCTGGCCGCTTCTGATTGGTCAATGGACGCGGGGCATTGATCGCCGTTAGCTCGGCCTCGACCTCACTCATCCGTGCCCCGCCATACATCCGTATTCATCTAACTCGTATTTACTATCAAAACAAATTCCAAATTTCGACGCCAAAACAACTGCAAGTCTGACCTCAGAGCGCCCAGAAAGCGCCTTCTCGCCATTTGGAGAGGATACGGTGTGAGAAATATCGCCGATTCGGGATTTGGAGTCGGGTCCCTGGGTGTGATGTGATGGCCGACGCCATGGATACGGATATGGACCTGCAGGTCGGGATGCAGGTCGAGCAGGATATGGAGTTGGATGGGGACGATGAGATGGATTCGGATGAGGAAATTGAGGCGAGTGAGGTTGAGGTGTCTGGAGCGGTGGAGAAAGGGAAGGAGGTAAGCTTAAGGGTTTCTTTTTTGTTGATGGTGATTCTGTGGTTGTGCTGTGTCACGTTTCTTTGGGGGCAAAACCTCAAGTTTGGAGGTGATATGAGATTTTGTTTTTCTTATCTTCAATTCTCGATAGTTTTTTGTTCTTTGGGGGCAGTGAGAGAATGGAGACAATGACCAAGAGGAAAACTAACGGGAACAGAAAGAATACCCATTCTCTCTTGCGCCCGCAATCTATATGCCCTTCACTGGTTTCGATGATTCCGACGGCGAATGCCCTCCTAGTGATGTGGAATGCCCAAGAGAACCACAGATAGGCAATCCAATCTACATCAACAGCCTAACAAAAATCATCAAGAATGTCATCGCCCAACAAAACATTGTCAGAAACAATATGCTATACCTCACGAAACAACGCGTTGACCAACTCTATGAGAAATCCCGCAAGGACATGAAAGCTCTTGTCACACACGATGAAGAAAAAGAAAGAGAGACGGTCCCACCCGAGAGCTCGAGATCACGAAACCCGCAAAACCTCCCACCCGAAGATCCCGGCGCTGAAACAGGTGAGAATCACAAACCTAGACCAGAAACCGTACCATGGCGGTATGGTGACCCTGAACTCGATGACTCACAATTGAGTCCTCGTGAAATAATCCGCAAGCACCTCTACTCCGAAATCTCAAACCTAATGGATCGGTGTGCGACCGAACTGGAACATTACGATGAGCATTGTGCCGAGATACTCAACAAGCACCGCGTGGAATTAGAAAAGATGGGCGGGAATATGGATAATATCTTGAAAGAGCTGGGGCTTCTCAAGAGTCCGGTTAGCCCTGCTGGTTCTACGATGACATCCGATAGACGGGGTTCAGAGAGTACGACGTTCTCACCTAGTGCCACGAGTCCACCTATGTGGAGGACGTCTACTACGATGAGTCCGAGGAGAGAGGGGAATGTAGGGAATGCTCATGGTGTTGCGAGGACGGAGAGAGGCTCTGAAGGGGATGAGGAGCAGGAAACTGTTGTTATGCGGTAAGGATGGGAAGTTTGCACTGTCTTTGAGGTTTGAACGCCGTACGGAATGGGCATGTGATGGTGCTTTGTATGTATGTTCGAAATTATTGTGTGTAAAGAGTGCGTTATTCTGCTTCAAGAGAAGTGATTGAATTGGGAAGTTGGGGGAGTCGGGATTCAGAGAGGATGTATATACCATGGGTGTTGGGGCTTGCACGTTAGTAGTGGCTATATACTAGAGAAGAGATGTAGTATTGCTATCAAGTATTTATTCATTTATTCAATCCTTCATAACCCTTCAATAGAAGGTTAAGAAATCACTCAATGGCGACAACCGAAGTCTACTCGAATAACCCTTTAAACAACAATCTTACTATCCACCCTTCAAGGTTTCCCCACAAAGGGTTTGGGTAAGCGAGGTGAGGTTTTTACTGTAGCGTGAGATCGTATCAAACGAGAAGTTGGCAGATAGTTACAAAACTCACCCCCTTAACTCTATACATCACTATTTCTTTCCTCTCCGCTTGCAACGAGAAGGGGGAAGAGATGGAGTAGAAGAGGGAGGTAGATATCGAGGTCAAGGAACCTACAAAGGCTGCGGCAGATGCTGGAGCGGGATAAGATGTAGGATCACTGCACTCTTACCCATTCCTAGAAAGCCCTCTAATCCCTTTCCCAGAGTCGAGATATCATACTTACATGCTTACTTAAAGTAACCAAGTTGGTCGTTGGAAGGCCTTGTGGGTCTGTTAAACCTCTCTTTGAAGACCTTGATATGTCGGGATTACACAGGCATAACTTTTGGGAGAAGGTGGAGATTATTGAGGTGAACTGGTGCGAGTTTGTGTTATTTCTGAGAACGCATGAATAAGTTGCGTTCCTCCGCAGCGAAGGTGGTGAGAAGAAGTATGGATAGCATGGCGAGTCACCGAGTTTGCTTGTCTTTGTGAAACCCACTGAGGAGGGCGGGATGGTTACGCTAGCTTGTTTATATTAAGTCATTGAGTTGATGGTAGATAAGAAGCTGTAGATGGGAGAGAGATTGAGGAGGAGAGTGAGATAATCAGAATGGAGGGGATTTGAAGAGATATACAGGAACGAGAGGAATGGACTGCAGCGCATGTGTAGGGCATTGAGGAATGAAAAAGAGGTCTACCAAACATATGTAGAGATGCATTCGCTTGGAAATTTTCTATGGTTCAGTGGTTTCAATTCTGCAAAGCGAAAAGTTTAAGTACTCGTAATATCATACGTATGCAACAAGCCTGGGACTTTGTCAGATAACCACTTAAAGTGCATGCTTTCTTTTGATCCTTTGTGGTCTCAAAGAGATATCATCGCTCATATTTAAAAGCTGTGATAGTGGGTTGAGGCATTTGAGTTTGACGTTCAAACAAGGAATACTTGAGAACTGCATCACACGCCACATATCGTCTGTTTTTTGTTGAGCAATGCACTTGAAATTCAATCGTATCAGAAATTCATTATCACAAAAACAGCCAGGAGAATGCTCAAATCAGTAAGGTATTTGAGGTCGTTTTGAGGCCTGATGAGGGTGGAGCGTAGCCAGTGCTATGTCTGTACTTACACCTCACCATGATTTCTGATTTGTGTGACTAGTCTTTGTAGATAACAACAGTGACTGGTCGCACACCAATCTTTCAATTTCGCGTAATGAAAGCATGCCAAATGGTTGTCCACAGGGGGTGAGAGTGGCACACAGACTGTAAACATTGCTGGAGCCAATAAGATCTCGATATAACCGACCCAATGAATTGAATCCATGACCAAACCCTGATGTGGATTTTGATATCTCCATCTGCGCATAATCCAGAAATACCCACGCCATGAAAACGTCTCTCATGTCTTTACTAATCTTGACGCGCCATTTCTCAAAATTATAGATTCCGATTTACTTTGACAAAGAGGACCAACAGGTTGCAGCCTTAGTAGTAATGCTCTGGCAGCACCATGAGAGCACTGATTTTCACCGCACAAATCCAGACTCTTCTCAGCACTTATTCTGAGACGACAATAATAATTTGGTACCGCCTGCTACAAATCTTAAGCTTGCACCTCTTGCATTGTGATTCCTGAACTCTCAAACATGACTTTCAGAATGATAGTGTGTCACTGGCATCGTAATCGGCGAAACTCCGGCGCATTTTGCCCCTGAACAAACTCGCTTCGAAGCGAGACTTAAACACAACCAAACAACATCTAAATACCCTTAAATCAAAGTTCCAGCTTAACAAAGCAGTTTTAAAGGCCATGATAAATAATTGCAAGGCGGTAGGGTGCCGTGGAGGCCTCGGGAAATACCCGGTTCGGGTTATAAGATAGCGAATTCGTGATATACAACCCACAAGTTGCCTGCAGATATTGACTCTTCCCTCATTGGCAACGAATTGATCATACAAAAGCGATTTTCTGGAACCATCCACATCACAAAAAGAACCAATCACCACCATGCCGACCCGTACTCGTCCTACTACCAAACTTCCCAAGGATAAGCGGGATGAAATTGTGCAACGCTATATCGCGAACCCATGGTTGGAGGAGGATGAGAAGACCGCGGCTTGGGAGGAAATGGGGATCACAAAGAGACAATTCGATGTAGGTTGTTATATTCTATTCCATCGTGTGGACCTTATGGATTGGCCTAATCATTTGCATGTAGAGTAGGTGGACCGAGTGCAACAATCGACGAGGATCACCGGCCCTTGCCCACGCCCGCAGCGAATGTCATCGAATAAACGCCCTACCAGAAGCCCAACGTGAAAGTGAAAAAAGGGCCTACAAGGAGACGGTGGGATGGGGAGGATATACCAATGATGATGGTTCTCCGATGGATGTTCTTGCGGTTATTGGAGGGTTTGCGGCGGCGGCGCGCAGAGCCGTGGTGGAGCGGAATTCGTCCCTCCTAATTAGACGGTATTTCTTGCCTGCTCGCGGTGCTGGGGTATGGTGTTATGGTCTTTGGAACAGTAGAATGGAGGTACCACCACGGGGATTGGTTTTCAAGACATGAAATAATGGAAGGAAAGGACCCTCTGGGCGACGGGAACGAAAGTAAACTGTGATAAACATGATGATGAGTGACTTTGACAAGCGAAATAACTTTGAATATGAACTTGAAAGCAACAAGAGCACGACTCAATGTAGAGAGGCTATGACTATTTAGTTACAGTTCAAGTTACAGCAGGCAGATCTATCAAGTTGAAGGCTCTGACTAATGACCAGGGTTTCCAAAAGGAGGTGGAGCCATGCCCTAGATCCAATAGAAGTGAAAGAGTGAACTGGGTCAAGTAACAAGACCGCCCCACAACAGAAATAGCGTGCAACCCTTGACTTCAACCGCGTCTTGTTTTGGTTACCCAGCAGACGGTCAAGCTACCAACAACACCTTCAAGCAAGCACTGAGCATACCATCACACCACAACCACTACTACAATGGCGGAAATCCCGATTGCTCCACTTTCGCTATTCCAATGTAACCCCTTCATGTCGAAGGCTGAGCAGCAGGAATGGGCAAAATACTTGAACATTACATGGGAGGAGTTTGAGGTAAGTCATTCTACTCAAGCTGCACGAGTCTATCAAAGTCGATTTAACGATTTCATTACAGAAGAGATGGAACTACCATACACTTCGCGGTAGGCATGGAGAGGCTGCCAGAGCTGCAAGAAGTGAAATCGACGCCCTCCCTGAGTACCAAAAGCAAGAAGCCATCACGGCATACACCAAGAAATCTGGATACAAGGGACTTGGTGAGGTTGAGGCTATGGGTGGTCTACAAGAATTTTCTGCCGCTTTGTCCCAGGCACGTGAAGCTGGTAATGCAGTTGGTGCTGGTACTTTGGGTCATGGTTCCTCGTCCTCCGCCCATCCTCGTACCTCCCAAACATACACGACTCAATCGGGTGCTTTTATCCCACTTGAACCGTCTCCTGGTGAAGTTGACCCTAGAACCCTGCAAAGCTATAGTGAGTCTCTTCTATTCTTGTAAAAGATCAAAATTTAACACTTCTTCTTAACAGAATCATTTCGCGGCAGTGCTGCTATGAGATATGCCATGTTCTACCCCGCAGAGTACCGAGCACACCGCTATGCAGAAGAGCAATACGACAAGTCAGTCAGAAACCCGAGCAAGAGAATTCCGAATTCCAACAGAAAAGCTTGATTCATGAGAGCATGGGGTGGAAAAGAGAGAGGTATGTAAGATATGAACTCTATGTTTCCTAGCGTTGTGGATGATAGTCTATTTCCCATATGCAAAGACCTTCTTGCTAACTGCTGAATGTCCTTTAGATCCTTGGTTTACGTCGTCATTCCCATTATCACCGCATACTGTTGTGAGAAGGGTCATTGGATCCAGGACCGTATGTCGGCATACATGTAACTGGATAGTAAATTCAAGTATGAGATACATTTGGGCAAAGTTGTGTAGATTGCTCTTGAACTAAACCACGAATGGGATCCATAACAAACATGACTAAGCACCTGAGTGCCTGTGATTCGTGACTTCACTTTTACAAAAGAAGGTATGACATATCTACCATCTCAGCTCCTAGTTAAAGCGCTGCTTCTTCTCTCTCTTTTATATAATTTCTCTACTTAGCTTCTTAAGAATAGACTAGATGTATAAGAAGATTTCTATTTAATTAGATATCTACTTAAATACTTATAAAAAACCTTTATATTATAAGTACTTTAGAAAATGTTATTAGTAAAAAGATTTTATATAAAAGATTATTCAAAATAGTTTTCTTATATTTCTATCTATACTTTAAGTACTTAAATATAACTCTATTATAAGTATTATCTTTAAAAAGATTAATTTTTCAAAGAGGTTACGCGAAAAGTTTCTAAGATTCTTATAAAAGAGTATTCCAATAATTATATAAATAGTTATAAGAATATTTATTATAGTAATTAGATTAACAATTACTAATAATTAAGGAATCTTACGTGAAAATTAATTTAATTAACGTAGTCCACAAGCGAGTTGGATTCCCAAGCGAAATGGATTTTTTCTTGGCACTCCACAAACTTATTCAGAGCGCGTTTTTTCTTAATAAACAAAATGGTTAAGCATTGGACAGAGTTTGATATGATTCTTGCGTTAAATACGCTTCGTACGAACCCACATTTAAAAGTTAAGAAGGTTGCGCGGATCTATAAAGTACCTTATACGACATTGCTTAATCGAACTCATGGAATATTATCACGACAAGATTCTATCGCTAAATCTCGAAAACTTACAGAGATTAAAGAAATAGTTATCGTACGACATGTTCTCGACCTAGATTCTCGATCATTTCCCCCACGAGTACGTTGTGTTGAAGATATGGCGAATCGTATCCTCTCGGAGCGGGGTGCAGGACGCGTTGGCAAGAACTGGACTTCGAACTTCGTACGACGACAACCTGAACTTAAGACGCGTTTTAATCGAAGGATTGATTATCAAAGAGTCCAATGCGAAAATTCAGACGCGTATAACGCGTGGTTTCGCCTCGTACGAAATATAATTGACAAATATGGGATTCAGGAGGAGGATATTTATAACTTTGACGAGACTGGGTTTTGTATGGGCCAAATTACATCAGAAATGGTTGTTACAAGTACCGAAAGGCTTTCTCGGCCTCGTACAGTACAGCAAGGAAACCGGGAATGGGCAACAGTAATTCAAGGTGTTGGGTCGTACGGCTTTGTAGTGCCTCCATATATCATTTTGGCGGGGAAGAACCACCTCTCCTCCTGGTACGAAAACAGCCAATTACCACGCGACTGGGTAATTGCTGTAACTACAAATGGCTGGACAACAAATGAGCGAGCCCTAGATTGGATTTTTCATTTCGATCGGCATACAAAGCTTCGTACGAAGGGCATTCACCGGCTGCTTGTGCTTGATGGCCATGAAAGCCACCACTCAGTCGATTTTGAGCTTTTTTGTAAGAGTAATAACATTATTACTCTTTGCATGCCAGCTCATTCCTCTCATAGACTCCAGCCACTCGATGTAGGATGTTTTCGAGCGTTAAAAAGGTCGTACGGTGCTGAACTTGAGAAATTAATGCGACTCCACATTACATATGTTTCTAAGGAGGATTTCTTATCAACATTCTATACTGCCTTTCGTACGACAATGACTGAATCAAACATTCGAGGAGGATTTCGAGGATCTGGCTTAGTGCCGTACGACCCAGATTCTGTGATTTCACAGCTTGATATACGTCCAAGGACTCCGTCACGTCCATCTACCTCAACAAGCCTCCTAGCTATTTGGGAACCAAAGACCCCAAATAACATAACAGAGGCATATTCCCAGACGTCATATATACAAAACAAGGTCGTACGACACCAAGATAGTTCTCCGACCCAGATTCTATATGGCCTAGACCAGCTTGCAAAGGGTGCACAGCGTGCAATCACTGAGGTAGCTTTATTACGAGCTGAGAATGCTACACTTCGTACAGCAAATGATCAACTTAGTCGGCGTCGTCGTACGAAAAAGCGCCGATTACAGGAAGGAGGATCACTTACTCTCCAAGATGCGCAAGATTTAGGGGTCCTTAGTAATGTTGATTCGCAAGAACAAGTGGTTTTAGTAGAAAATAGTAATTGTACGAGCCCGAGTCTAGTACCTCGCCGGCGCTGTGGACTATGTGGGAAACATGGCCATAACATACGAACTTGTCAAAAAGGAGAAGAAATATGTGAGGATTCCGATTCTGAATACTGTAATTAATTTAATTAATTGTGTCGTGAGATATTTAAGAATTTATAAAATGCCAAGAAAAGAAATCCATTTCGCTTGGGAATCCAACTCGCTTGTGGACTACGTTAGATAGAGCTATTAGCTAGTTAGGGCTTAGGCGAGCGTTTCCGTATATAATTTAAGAAACAAGGGCTCGAGTAGAAGTATCGAGTTCATTTATAATTCCGAGGTTACTGTGACGAAACTCAAACTATCTAACAAAAGTAATCGTTCCGAAGGTTGGTATGCAGATAAGAAGATCAGATGCGCCGGGTTGTTTACTCAGAGGTAAACTCGTCACTTGTACAAAGTCGTCAAAGTCAAAAGGTATTGGTAACTAAGTAAACTAAGTTGAGCACGAAGCTCCTATCTAATGGCAGACGTGCCAGTCTTATATAGAACCTTCGTTCTCCTAAATCAGTGCCCGTCGCTCTGATCCTTTCTGATTCCTTAGAGGTCGTCAGGCCGACCACCTCTGATTGTTATGGTGGGATCAAGGAATAGATTGTTCGCAAGGAGGGAAGAGAGACGCTCTTCGCACTCCTTAGGTATTTGTCTATCTACGGAAGGGTACACCCGCAACTTCGCTAAGCGAACCCTTATTCACTAAATCAAAAACTGTCACACTGATGCCAGTCGATCACGTGACAGTAGCCAAAGGAAATCCTTGGATCGCTTAGCTAGCCTAAGCATCCCTATTCGCTATAAGAGTTCGTGATAATGCTTAACCTGTCAGGACGCCGCCTGGTCTTCACTCGTTACCTGCTAACACGTGATTCGTGACAGTTACGTAAGAGTACTAATTTAAGTTGGAATACGATAAGAATAACTTTTAGGTTATCTAAGGGTACGTAGCCGCGTATAGTAAGCGAGGTAAAATGGGGGTGTTTTTATAAGATATCTACTAGCTCGGTTCGTACTATAAGAGTAGACTTTTTCGGTTTATGTTTTTCCGCTAGCTTTACGAGGTAAGTTAAGACTATTCGTAAGTATAGAAATCGGTCGATTTTAACTAATAGGCCTAATAAAGGGATTAATCCGAAATATAGGTACTATAGAGAAGGGTTAAGAATTAGTAGGTTTTATACTAAAGGAGAATAGTGTGAGAGGCCAGACCTTGAACAACTCAAAGGTGAGGTTTCAAATATTCAATTAAGAAGTGCGTGAAGACTACTGTAACGAATACTCAAACTGGCTAACTAAACTTGGCTGGGTGTTCGCTGGTTGGTATGCTATGATAAGAAGAAGACTATCGGGTTGTTCACTTGGAA